GCAAGACAGTACTCCCAATGAGCCCAATGAGCCCTTGGTGTCAGTCCCGTTGGCGCGAGTGCCGAAGTACAACCCAGATCGGTGCAAAGGCCGACTACGCCCTCGCCGCACTCAGCGGCCCACGTGGCCCTTACAAGAAGCCTGCGTGACGGGCCCAGCCGGTCCCAGCAACGGGTGCAGCAGGACTGGGATGCGTTCATGAAGTGTCTCTCACTTTGTTTTCAACGAGCCTGGTGGCGGCGCGCCAGGGGCCTGAAGCAAAGGTTGCGCAGGAAGCTTTGTCCAGGCCAGGGGCTCAGGCCAAAGGCGGGCTCGCTAAGTTTCAGGGCACTGCGATGATCTGCCAGCATTGGCAGGACGTCCGGCGGGAGATCCCCGTCGATCAGGACAGGGCACTTGAGGCTCTTGTTAATGGTTTTGGGCCGGTTTCGGCCGCGGAATGGAAGGGTTTATCCTTCGAACATGTTTTGTTTTCCGTGCGTCACTGTAGGGGAGGCGTGGGACCGGACCAGTGGTCTGGGCCGGAAATTAGATATATGCCGGAGGCGGCTGTCAGGGTTTTCTTCAGTAGTATTACTCGTTGCTGGGAGGTTTCTGGTTGTTTGCCTCTGCAACTTAAGCAGGCTCGCCAAATCACTCTCTGTAAAGAGGGAAAGATGGAAGCGGAGGGTCTCCTCCATGTTAAACATACTTCCTATCACGGTCATGTCTTGTTTTTGGCGTGTTTACGCCTCTACTGGGACTCGTAATGCACAGCTTTGTACCTGGGTCCAGGCGCACCTGCACGAGTCTGTTGCTTTCGGTAAAGGTATGGCCGGGGCTGAAGATCTTGTTGCGCGTTTGCAGGACAATTTTTCCACTCGTAAGGGGTTCCTGGCGAGTTTAGATTGGAGTGCTGCCTCTGACAGAATGCAGCCGCAGGTATCTGCAAGGTTCATAGAGGCCCTTGGCCTTCCAAGTTGCCTCGCTACTCTGATTAGCGAGGCTTGGGGCCGTCAGCGACGGTTCATTCAGTTCGAGGGTCACAGTCACCACGTGGGCCTCGATGCTGGGGCGGCCACGCCCCATGCAAGGCTGTCCTTTAGCACCGCTCATGCTCAAACTTTGGGCACGCGCGGGAGCTAGAGCGGTTGAATCGCATGTTTGTGACCCGGAGGTGACGGTGTGCACCTACATGGATGACCGGTCCTGGCATAGTAACCGATGGGAAGCGGTGCAGGGACGCATCGAGGGCTGGTCGGCCTTCAGTGCGTCTGTCGGTTTGAAGGAGGCCACGGAAAAGATCCAGCTGGTGGCGTGGGGGGCCCAGTGCCAGGCCATCATGAACCTGCACGCCAACCCGCTCTGGATAAAGAGCGAGGCTAAGCGGCTAAGGTGCTCGGGGCCTCTTCGGTGTCTAGGCCACGACGACAGACGGAGGCGGAAGAGGACCGGCTTCGCAAGGCTCGCGAACAGGGGGCCCTGTTGCCTTGCGCACGGTGCAGCTCCCGTGGATGCGCATGCTCTGGGCTCATCGCAGCTTTGTCTCAAGGGTCGTGTGAAAAGCTTTTCACTTCGCTGTCACAAGGCTTTGGAACGGGGCATGTCGGCTCTCGAGACTTGCGTAAGGTCCTGTACGGGGGCACAGTCCATTTGGCTTCTGTGCTGCTGGCAAGGGCTTGGCAGAGGCTGAGGAGAGCTAAGGCTTCAGGTTTCGTGCCCAGCTGGCACAACGTCCCGCACACCACTTTGGGGCATGCTTAGGCGACGTCTGAAGGAAGTGGGCTTCGTGGAGCGTGGTCCTTGGAAGTGGGAGTTGCCTCGCAGGTGGCTCAGGCACGTCAAGCCCTCAGAGCGCGGTCTGGACCTTGGGCCTGGGGCTCGGCAGCCAGAGGCCGCGCAGTTGCACATCATACACCAGCAGCTCAGACGTATGTCCTTTGAGGACTACTTGAGCGCGAGCCGGCATGAAGCTGTCGAGTTGGATGCCTGCTAATCCCATTAATCCCTTGACGCGCAGACTCGGGTGGGTCTCGCAAGATGGGTGGGCAGCCAGTGCTCACGTTGCGGAGACGGTGAGCTAACGTTTGGGCTTAGGTCCGTGGTGGTGCGGGGGGGGTTTGCAGTCTTCTGGGCGGGCCTCCTCTCGGCAAATCTTTCGCTTTCCGGCTGGACCTCTTCGAGGCCTGGCCTTCCTTTCTTCTTCTCGCTCTTTTCGGCGGGTGGCTCGTCTCCGCGGGTCTCTCCGGGTGGGGGGCACTCAGGAGTGAACTGCGCCAGCGCTTTGCTGTGACAAGGGCAGTGAAGCGACAGACGCCTTAGGCGTCCTGTTTGACTGAGGTACTTCGGCCTGCGCAGCTAAGGACATGTGCCTTTGGTCTTTCTTTTCTTTCCTGCTCTTCTCGAAGGGCGGGCGTGCTGGCTACAACGACGTGGCGTACCAGCATGACAACCCCTACTGCTACTACTACTACTACTACCACTACCACTACCACTACTACTACTACTACTACTACTACTACTACTACTACTGCTACTACTGCTACTACTGCTACTATGACTACTACTACTACTACTACTACTACTACTACTACTACTACTACTACTACTACTACTACTACTACTACTACCTACTACCTACTACCACTACTACTACTACTACTACTACTACTACTACTACTACTACTACTACTACTACTACTACTACTACTACTACTACTACTACTACTACTACTACTACTACTACTACTACTACTACTACTCGTTTGTTGGTGCTTATTTTAATTCGACGTGTGGAAATCTTGGACTGACCTCTCGCAGCACCTTGAAGAAAATGTCCAGAAGACCCAATTTTACCACAAGAGTATTTCGGGACGCCGTAATTTTGCCTCGCATGATCTCGCATGGTGCGCCGGCTGATAAAGGACGGATAAGCCTATCATCTTAGGCACTGTCTTCTGTGGTGCATGTCAGCGCAGACATAGTGACAAGGAAAGCAATCGAATTGACACTGTTCTCAGTTACATTGCTCGTGCCACATTCCTGCCAGTTCCTTGGCAGATCAAGCGCATGGTGATTACTGCTGGGGCGCTTGCAAAAGCGGAGTTTGGATGGTGCTTGAAGCCTCCCACACTTACAGTTTGCCGTTCAATCCAAAGTGCCATTAAGAAAGCTTTGCATGAGCCTCGTTATGCCAGCCCTGATCTTAGAGATGCTCTCAGAGGTCATAGGCTTCACTTTGGCTTTCGTGCGCTTACTGCTACTTGTGCTGCCGCCAGGAGAGTTCTTGACAAAGAGCCTGCAAGGCTCATCCCTGGGCTTTAGGATTGGAATCTTGGATGGTCAGCCTCCATGCATGAGCATCATTCCGTGCCAATGCAAGCGTACTTCCTTGCATTTTCTTCATGACGACATTTTCTCGCAGATTCTGGTTTCGTGCCGCTTTTTGAATGTCTAGTGCATTCCTTGACAGCGCGTCTTGTCTTCATGACCTACGTGCTCTTCTTCCCCTACGGCGTCTTCACTAGTGGGAGTTCGCCCAGCACAAAAACAGCGTTTGCTATAGTTCTTTCACATATTTTGCTGCCGCTCGGGCATTTCATTCATTAGGAGCGTCTAGCTCAAGAAGGGCAAGTGAAGAGTCATCTGCATCTGTAGTCAAAGCCCGAAATCCAGCACGAACGGACAGGGTCTTGCAGGGCAGAGATCTTCCTTTTTGCTGCATGCAAGTTGTTCAAGTCTCGCTGTTGGTTTCCGAACGTGACTTTCGTGCTGCCTCTTGGGCTTCCTCGCATTAGGGTCTAAGCAAGACGTGTTTTTTTTTGTTTTTCTGTTTCTTCAGCTTTCGAGCTTCTCGCTTGCCATCTTTCACCCAAAATCAAACAGCCCAGTTGTGAAAGGCGAAATCCTGAGGGAGCGCAAACCTTCAGGGCCTACGCGGATCAGCTTTGTGACGCGGCAACTTTTGCTCCCTCGACCGGCGGTGTCGGAGTGTCGCACTTGTTCTTCAGCCGTGCAAACTTGCTTGAAGTATATGAGTTTCCTTGTTTTGAGACCCATCATGCGATCATTGTGTTTGGGGCGTGTTGTAGATATATAAGGAGCCGCAATCGCCAAATCAGGGGGCATGTTTAAGATACATGATGAACCGGAATCGCTAAATAAGGTGGCGTAAGATATATGATGAACCGGAATCACCAATGAGGGGGCGTGTTGTAGATATATGATGACACCGCCAAATACGGGGGCGTGTGAACCGGAATCGCCAATTGAGTGGGCGTGTTTAAGATGTGATGAACCGGAATCGCCAAACGAGGGGGCGTGTTTAAGATGTATGATGAGTCCGAATCGCAAAATGAGGAGGTATGTTTACGATATGTGATGAACCGGAATCGCCAATTGAACCATTGTCGCCACTGAGGGGGCGTTGAAACGGAACGACCGTGTTTGAGATATGTGCTGAAATCGGAATCGCCGCATGAAGGGGCGTGTTTAAGATAAAAGTTGAGCCCGAAAAGGTTGGAATCTCAAAGGCGGAACCCGAAACTTGAATCCGTTGGCCGGAATCGCCAGACGAGGGGGCGTGTTTAGGATATATGATGAACCGGAATTACCAAATGAGGGGGCGTGTATAGGAGAAGCCGGAATCGCCAAACGAGGGGGTGTGTTTAAGATACAGGATGAATCCGAGCAGGTTTGAAGCTGGTTGCCTGAACCCTAAAGTTGAATCCGGCAGCGGAGTGCTAAACGGTTCAGAACGGTGCGGACTCGGAGTGGCTACAAGTGACGCCGGCTTTTGGTGGCTACGTGACCCCGAAACCCTAAACCTTGGAATTGCCCGAAGCAAATTGTGCTAGGAATGGCTGTGGTTCCTATGATTTCGTTTGTTGGTGATAATTTTGATTGTGTCCTTGGGTTTAGTTTTCTTGATGCCTGTTTAAATTTGTTTTGATGCCTGACTTTGAACCGGGGGATTTTGCGCAGATACACAATGCCCTCAACCAATGTTTGCTTCGCCTCAGGTTTTGAATGTCGTTACCGGCGTGTTCTGCCAGCACCTTGGACACTGTTAAGGATTCGGTTGGGGTTATGAAGCAAGAGTGTTCTCAGTGACCAGGGCGACGGGCCATTCCCGCATTTGTAATTAGCCAGCAGAAGACCAGGTCAGCAATCGAGTCTGCCCAGAATGACCATACCACGGTGGTCCAGTCCATTCTCGCGGACAAGCAAGCACACCTGCAAAAGATCCGTGACCTTTTCGGCAAGCTTGGAGACCAAGACGGCGTCATAACCTACACAATGTTTGAAGAGAAGATCAACTCGCCAGCCGTCCGAGAATATTTCGAGTCGTTAGGTTTAGATGTGCCGAGGACGCTCTTGATCAATTTTTTGATCTTCGTATAGTCTTAAGGAGGAGCAAGAATATATTTGATTTTTAAGGCACAACAACAACAGCAACAGTAATGCAAAGGCAACGGCAACAGCCACAGCCAAAGCAACAGCAACAACCTCGACGACGATGTCTAAGACGACGACGAGGAGGAGGAGGAGGAGCAGGAGGAGCAGGAGGAGCAGGAGGAGCAGGAGGAGCAGGAGGAGCAGGAGGAGCAGGAGGAGGAGGAGGAGCAACAGCACTAGCAATAACAGCAACAGCAGCGACAATGGCAACAACAGCAACAGCAAAAACAGGAGGCACAACGATGACGAAGATTACGATGACGACCACCACGAAGCCGACAACGACAACAACAACAACAAAATTATGAACTCAGCCCAGGTATGGGATGCTTGGACTTTCTTTAAGCTACTGGATCAGGATGCAGGAGGTGCTATCGAGATTGAGGAGTTTTTGATGGGTTGCCTTCGCCTCCGAGGGCAAGCTCGTGCCATGGAGCTGGCGAAAATCATTCAAGATCAATCTTGGCTCATCAAGAATCAGGGACTTCTCGGCGTCTATGTTGAGTCAGAGATCGGGCAGCTCAGACAGGATCTTGCACAGATCGTGCGTGCGAATTCTACATTAAAAGCAGACGATATCTCATTGCCGAGATCACGAGAGGTGTAGTCATAGACTTGGCCTCGGCAGGCCTGGTCTGGATTTTCCAAGCGCGTTTTTTTTTGGAGGGGGGCGAGCTTTGCTCGTGGTTTTCATTATGTTACCCGACTGCCACAACTGGTCTCGGTTTGGAGTTTGGGAGCCCCTGTTCTTGGTTTCGGATCTGAATACCAACGGCAGATTTTGCATGCCTGTCGCTTGAATCCAATGTTGACAACCCTTCTCCAGCTTCACAGCCACTGGGGTTGACAAGATGTTTGCTGTGCAGCACGGTTCTTGCACTGTCGTCGACGAAGGCTCCTGTCGCGCGCGGACTGCCTTGCTTTCTACACTAGTCCGTTGAATCTGGCATGGGGCGAAAACCACTGGGACAACTGGCCATTAAGTCATTCATCTGGCTCAACCGTCAGAGCAGACCCGCCCTCGTTCCCTACCGGGCCCCCCGTGTCAGGCAAACCAGTCGGGATCATCAGGAAGGTAGGGGACAGGCCTGGTGGAAAACGGGGATCGCGGCTGGCACAGAATCTCCGACGCCAACTTCAGTTTGCAACGACAAACCGGGACAAGCCCAACCTCTCTGTTTTGGAATGATTTTAGAGACTGGTTGGTTGGTTGGTTGGTTGGTTGGTTGGTTGGTTTCGTTCTTGCCTTTTCGTTTGATCGTGTCTGTTGCCAGGTCCGATAACTTGGACCATTGCGTTGCGAGTCGGCGAACTGTCAGCAGTGGTCTGGCCCAACAGGTAGGCTGTGGACATTTCTGGCCATTGCAACCGGATGAATTTGTGCACTTCGCAGCATAGAACAAAAGTTCTATTGCATCCGGTTTGACAGCTATGGAATATCGTTGGCTTGTGAAGTTTTCCTGTTGTAGAAGCCTCTGAGAGTTCTTCGATGCATCAGCCAAACCGAGCTGCCTATGCTGCCAGTTCCCTGAGGGACGGGCGAACCAGTTCGAGATCTCGGTTTTATGCGTCTGGTTCGTGCAGTTCACGTGGCGCAAGATATGCTATTGCACAAAATGTGCAAAGAAGTTTCTGGGGTCGGCGAGATACCCACCTGTGGAACCCAACATCGAGCGTAAAGCGCTCTAATAGGGTTACGTTGCAGATGTCGGAAAATTGGTGCTGTCTTTGACGAGTTTCTGATTTCAACAGAGCATAAAAGAGTGTCCACTTGGCTGTCAGGGCGCTCGGACTGGTCAGAGCGCACTTGCATCGGCATCGGCAGTGTGCTCAGAGTCACCTGCGCAGCGTCGACATGGTTCACCTAATTACCAAAAGCGGTTAACATGAAATGCACAGTGCCTCTTCAGGAAAGCTTTTCGGCCTGGCTTTGCGCAACATCCCAGACCCCCCGCCACCGGGCACCCCTGCCGCAGATTGATTATGTTTCCGATACTGATACCTTGCAGTGCCTTGCAGTAGGCACCTTGCCGTCTCCATTCTAAGCTGTGCCGTGGGAGCAAGCATTCACAGTGATTGCCAGACCAGCCGCCGATGGTTTTGGCCGGGGCACTGCCAAAGCCGACGTTTGGTCAGCTGTCGCCTACTATGCCACCGACGTGGCGAACTCAGGAACATGTCGCAACATTTCAGAGAAATGTTTCTGCCGACATATCAAGAACGTATGAAGACAGTTTCAAGGTACACCATGATGCCGACTATCCCCGACCCACCCAAATGGGGTGAGCCGCCCACCTCCGGGCCGGCTCCGGCAAAAATGTCCAAGGAGCAGATGCAGAGGCGGGCAGCAAGTCGGGTCACTACTGCGGAAGACTTTTCCTATCGTTTGAGGCAGGGTAGACGGGCACACCGGTAGACACGATCGCGGAGCACAGCCTGCACAGCTTGCGGTGCCTCGAGGATGCTCGACCCTGTGCAGCGTTTCTTGCTCCGGCCGGACCAGGTGCTGACATGAGATTCACATAGCTGCCTGCGCGCAGCAAGTTGGCACGTTTCAAGTGTTCTCCGGAGTGTATAGAGTGCCAATTTCTTTTGCTGCCTGTAAACACATTATATCACTGGTAAGTGGCACAATGCAACAGGTCTGCCAGCAGATGTTCGTTGCGATTGGTGCGACCACACGCGTAGAAGGAAGCTGCGACCAAGCTCTGGGAATCTAGATCTATGCTTGTTACCCTCAGCCGAAGCTGTTCTTGCCAGGACTGCTGCGCAACTCCTTCAAGACCTCGTTTCGCGTGCCTTCCGCCGGCATGGCTCTTCCGACGAAGGATCCCGGAATTTCAACGGAATTGTGACGCTCAACGATGGCTGCCTTCGCACAGGGTGACCTCATGCTCCAGGCCATGCAGCAGGCCGGGCCCAAAACCCCCGGGCACCAGGCATTGTCTTCCAATGGGGTGAAGGCATGGGCGGCATGGGGTATGTGCGCCATCCAGAACCCTGACATGGGAGTGGAACGCCACTTTCGCCGGAGACGTATGTACTTCGAAGGTTTCTTTTTGCGCCGTTGGCTCCACCTCAAGAGAAAAAGAGAGACAGAGACAGAGAGAGAGAGTGCACCGGAGGGCAGCCCAAGCGGGGGCTCGCCCTCATGCCTGGTGAAAGAAAGTCTGTACTCTGTATGGATGCATCATGCTTTGGCGTCTGCTCCCAGGCTACCTCAATTTGCCTTGCCAGTAGTTTCTCCCTGGCTGCCCACACAATACTGGGGGCACAAACGCATGGAGAGGGGTAACTCCCTCGTCTTCTACCCTTCGGAAAGGACAGAAAGAGATAGAGAGAGAGAGAGAGAGAGAGAGAGAGAGAGGGAGGGACAGACAGAGAGATATGCAGTGCCACACTGAGGGGGCCAGAACCACATGATGTACCTAGAGTAACTGGAGAGGGTCTTCGTACTGCTGTACTTGTCAGAGCCTCAGACAGCAAGCTTTCAGTGCTGTCAAGCAGTGGTCATGTGGTGCACGAGTGTTGTGTCCTTGCTTGGTCTCTTGAAGCCCGAACCAGTGCAACACATATGGTCGGGGGCCCACAGATCGGCACAGAGCTTCAATGAGAAGAGGCGCGAGGCCAGGGATGACACCCAAAGCTAGGGGTTAGGGTACAACAGTGGCCTAGTTCCTCTGTGAAAGTGTCCAGGGCAGTCTGAGTGCAAGCAAGAGAGAGAGGCTGCATCGAATTCTTGTCCAGCTGGCTGAGCCGCCAGAGCCAAATCGTTTGGCGGAGTTCAAAAACCTATGGACCATAGGTGCGAGTTCGCGTGCGAGGGGGTCTTCCCTTCTTATCTGCGAGAGAGACAGAGAAAGACAGAAGGGGACTACCGGCTGTACTGTACCGAACAGGGGGGGGGCAAGACCCAACCTCGGACTACTCCAAAGCCTCTTCCACCGCACAGACGGGGAAAGGGGGCGCCTTGGCGCGGGTTCGCACTGCGAGAGCTCTTCCCCAGTGAAGTGAAGTGAAGTGAAGAGGGAGAGAAAGTTCTTCAGCAGCCGATTTCCGCGAACAGATCAGGAGGAATCTTCGTATGCTTTTTGCTATCCCAAGCTTTACTTCCCCACTGACACTATTCATCGCCTTTTCAAGCTCCTTTGCCCGCCAACAGCACGGGTCGGCTTGCAGACCGGTGGCGTTGACCGGCCATGCCGGGAGGGAGAGAGAAAAGAGGCAAAGGTGAGTGTGTATGTGAGTCTCCGTATCTGTGCAGTCTAGGGTTCAAAGTTGCCTCATCTGACACGAATCGCAGCGGGCCGCGAGGCAGCAGATTTCCGAAAGACCGCAACGCAGCAGAAAGAGGCAGCGCTTGATGTGCCTTCAACTCGTGATGCTGCTCTTTCGAGTGTGCTGCTGTCAGCACGGGAGGGTGTTCTCCAGCAGAAAATGAAAATGTCTCAGCCACGGTCGCACTGAGCAGGCCGAAGTGGCAAAGGCCAAGGCGGGCTTGAAAGAAGCAGCGGCAGATTTGATGAAGCTGCGAGCTTGGGACCTCGCCGCGAGTAGCTTCCTTTTGCACGGGCCTTTCTCCGCCGAGGCCGGCCCAGACCCAGCCGGCTTCTGCAGTGGAGCTGGGGTTGCTGCCACACTCCTCAGACTACAACCCGAAGGCAGCGGATACGTCACATGTTTAGCACCACCTAGCGCAACAACCTTGCCTGCGTTTGCAGAGCGAGTCTGGGGAGACTCCATTCACGACACCAGTCCTGCTTGAGGTCACCATTGGTGCGAGCCTGCTCCGAATGCATCGTTAGGCCAGGCAGGTCTTGTAGCAATGGGCCGCACTTCTCACGGTTGGCGACCTTGTTCCGCTGGAAGGCAAGGGGAATCCGCGGCCTTTGAGCCAAAGCTGTACTTGCCCTTGCTGGTTACCAAAAAAGCTTGCATCACTTCAACGTTCGATTCGTTTTGACATGAGTTTGTGGGCGCTTCAGGTCCCTGTGAGATGCCCGAGTTCAGATGACACGCTTGCTCAGTCGTATCAGAGCTCTTGAATGCGATCCCGCGGCTTCTCAGGCTCAAGAGTTCCATTTAGTTGCTTTCATGTGCTGGGGCGCCGACCAGAGACACGACCCGCGGCAAAAGGTGAACTGCGGCAGGTTTGGAGCTGTCAGGCTGGATCTTTCGAGTATTCGGCCCGATTTCTGGATGCAGTTTGACGGTAGAAGAAGCGAGTCGACTCAAAAATGTCCTGTCCCGAGCCGGTGGCCAGGCTGCCTCCGTGTCCGGCCGAACACCTTGCATGTTGTACGTAGTCGAACGGAACACTGAAGCGCTTGTCGGAAGCAAGCGCATTTGAGATGTCATCGGAACTTGCGGCATTGCTCCGTGTTAAACATCTAAGCATTGCATGCCGTGCAGGTGGTCGCAATGCTGTCCCTGGTGACAGGGATGCCAATCCTGTTGGCATTCCTGCAGCATGTGGCAGCATCGAGTCTCGGCTGACATCTGTGTGCTCTTGATCTTGTTCGCCCATACTGAAGCTGTCCGAGCCGTGCCTCTCAGGAGCCAGGAGATGGCGCAGATCAACCCAGCAGATCTCAGTGCCATCGGGGAGCTCTATGTCCCCGTGGAGCACATCTGCGACGGATTCCAGGAGCAGTGGGACAACTGCCCAGGCCAATCGCCGCAAAATGATGTGTGGATTCTGGAAGTGTGCGGTGCTGTTGCCGCGAGCACCCTCAGGCCTCGAGCCCTGTGGGCCTTGTGTGCCGGAGCCTGAGCTTGTGTTCCCGAAGAAGTTCGTTTCGGTGCCTGTCAAATGAGGCCCCGAGACTGCACCATGGGACCTTGGAGCCCATGGCAGCTCCAAGGGGGCTGCACGGGACTGCAACTCCGGCACCGCGAAGTCGAGGCCCGGAGCCCTTCGTAGGGGAAGGCATGGTAGAATCACGACATGTCGATATGCTTCAGGGAGGAACTAGTGACTAGTGTGACGCAGTTCACGGCCGTTGACAGTCCTTCGTCCTTTGAATTGGGCCAAAACCTGCCGACATTCTGTGCCAACAGGTGACGGCGAACCACTGTGGCCAGCCCTGCAACGAGGCCCTCACGGAGACAGCTGAGTACGTCTTGGAGGAATGCAAGCCCAAAGGCCAAGAAACTCGGCCGCAAGCGAGCGTCAGCAACCTTTCACAAGCAGTTGTGTGAAGCTGTAGCCCTCGAAGACTGCATCTACATTGCAGATTGCACGTCACACAGGACTGCAAGTTCTCCACCTGGCAAGAGTGGAGTGAATGTAAGAACAAGAAGGACGCTTTGTGAGCTGCATACTTGAGTCTGCTGCTTCCGATTCTCGCGACCAAACATGCTAGGACCAGTCCATGCGAATCCGGACCGTCGAGCAGGGTCCACAGGAAGGGGGCAAAAACTGCAGAGGTGCGCTCAAGGACAGGCTGACGGGGGCAGGAAAACCTGCTTTTTGGATTCCTTCCGAACTTACACAAAAACACAGATGCAGGGCGATGTATTGTGCCAACGCCCAGGAGCAGCGCTGGTAGCAGCAGTCGTCGTCGTAGTGGTGGTGGTAGTAGTAGTAGTAGTAGTAGTAGGAGTCGTGGTCGAAGTCGTTGTCGTAGTAGTGGTGGTAATAGTAGTAGCAGTAGTAGTAGTAGTAGGAGGAGGAGGAGGAGGAATAGTAGTAGTAGTAGTAGTAGTAGTAGTAGTAGTAGTAGTAGTAGTAGTAGTGGTGATGGTAGTAGTCGTCGTAGTGATAGTAGTAGCCATGTAGAAGCTAGTAGTAGTAGTAGCAGTAGTAGTAGAGGGAGTAGTAGTAGTAGTCGTCGTCGTCGTCGTAGCAGCCTACTACACTACTACCACTACTACCACTACTACCACTACTACTACTACTACTACTACTACTACTACCACTACTACTGCTACTACCACTACTACTTACTACTGCTATCCTTCCTGCTGCTGTTGTTCCTCCTCTTCCTCCAGCTGCTCTGTTACTTCCACGACCACGACCACCATCCCAACCACCACTACCACCGCTATCGCCATTGAAGCAACTGTTCTTACCTGTAATTGCTATGACTCTGGTAGCACCGGCAATACTGCGACTGTTGCAAGCTACTGCCAACCACCCCTGCAAAGGTGGATTACTGCTTTCTTGACAAGCGACGCAGTGCAAAGATGCTACCAGCAGACATCCGCAGTCCGCAGACCCATGCAGGAGACCCGGCCCTGTGGTGGGCCAAAGGACACGAACTGTCACGTTGGCGATTGGCACGAGTGGACAAGCTGCAGCGTCAAGTGTGGAGTCGGCAGGCACACACGAATGCGAAACTTGGCCAATGCTTTGGACTAGCGGCCTAGTGGTGTGGAGGTGAGAAGTGTCAATCTGATCAGAGCTAGAGGTCTTAGTCGGTTGCCATGGTTTCGTAGCCGAAACCCAGGATACATCGATGTGGAGGCCCGACGTGGGGGCGAGACCTGCGATCTAGACCTGCTAGAGACGGCGCCTTGTGATGCCGGACATTGTGCGGGCAGCCGCTTGCCTCAAGTTCGAACCGAGATGGATTCCTAGGTGTTCAATGTGTGGATTATTTGATTGTGGTCCTCGTGTCATACAGTTGGGGGTGCTCACGTATAGAAAAACAGTTGACTTCAGCGGGAGCTGACAACATCTCGCTGGCAGGTCGTGACTGCCAGGTCAGCGCATGGACAGAGTGGAGCATGTGCGATGAGACCTACATCCAGAAGTACCGGCGACGGGAGGCATTGAACTCACAGGCTTCGAGGCATTTCAGGCAGTGGGGCAGGAGGTTTCCGCACCGGACCTGAGCCAAGAAGGCAGTGTGACATGGTTTGACAAATTGAGGGTGATCATAGCCAAAATTTGAGTGCGTGTCGTCGCACAGCTCTCTTCGTGCAGGTCACTTTGGAGCCAACAGGAACCGGCATTCTGTGCAACTACAGCCACCTGGCCGAAGCAATTACCCAGTTCATGTAGTACTAGCCGTATCAGAATCAGCTTCGGTCATGCATGTTGCATAAGGCTTGAAAGAGACATTGGGATGTGCCCCGCCGGTAAAGCAAGACTGCACTCTGGCGGAGTGGCGTCCCTGGAGCACTTGCAGCTAGGCAGCGAACAGACGCATGCTCCACAACGGGACAACGATGCATGCGGGAGCTTGCGATGAACTCCACATTGTGTTCTGTGCAGCTGAGACTAGAGCAGACCGAGGCACAGCAACCTGCGATGGAGGTCAGAGATACAGAGACCGCAACGTGCTGAAGCCACCGAGGCTGGGTCTCGCGCATCGCCTTGTGAGCTTGCCCGCAACCGGGTTTTCCGAGGCGGGGCGGCACCTGCCCCACAGTTCAACTCAGGGAGACCGCATCCTGCGGAGCCTCGTCTGAGATTTCCGCCTTCGCGCCGGAGTTCAGTAGCAACACCAGTGACCAACAAAGACCAGGATTCAGAGTGGAAAGTTTTTTTTTTTGGCCCTGTCAGCTCCGACGAGGTATCTCCTCCTGCTCTCCTCAAGGTCCGCAGGATTGTCTCCTGACCGACTGGGTTCCTCTGCGGCAGTTGAGAAATGGAGAGTCCAGGGCAAGAGCGGCGAAGATGAAGGTGTAGGATATGCAAGGCGGTCTCGTCAAAAGACGTCGTTTTTCAGGCCAAATGGTCCGACTGCTCGGCGTCATGCGGTCAGCCTCTCAGTTACTGAAGCGTGATTTGCAGCGTGGCGTGGTCATTGGATGGTATTTCTTGATTCCCCGCCGTGGCCCGGTTTCGCTGACAGGAAGCGGGTCGCGCACACGGACAAGAAAGGTGGACAGATTCGCATCAAATGGTGCGAAGCCCTGCCTCTCGGCAACACTCTGGCACCAACTCCCTCGCAACCTGAATTCAAAAGACTCCAGGCGAAGGAGCACTTCAAGAAGTTGGGCAGTGTGTGCGAGAGGACTGCCAGGCCACTGCAGGGTAGCATTTTGGACTTGGCAAGCTTAGCGCCCCGGAGCTTCATGCCCCCATAGGTTGTCGACTGCCGGTGGAGCGACTGGGAGCAGTGGTCCACATGCAGCGTCTCCTGCGATGGGGGCACAAAAGTCAGGAGCGATCCGCCGGCTCTCCAGTCACATTCCTCCTGTGCCCGCCGTAACTTTGCATGTGTTGCGTGGAGTGGAGACCTTTGTAACGATCTGTAACTGCGCGGAATGGACGTGTACTTACATCGTGTATATCCTTCTTTGCACCATGGTCGAAGTCAGTGCCGATCCGTACGTGCAGCAGTATAGTGTCTAGCACTGATTTCTGCATTGCTCCCCATCAACCTCGAAGACCTCGCAGCGAGTGCAACTCAGTGGAACGGGAGAGCGCGGGTTGATTTCGCGTATACTTCATGCAGGGTGTACATGCAACATCATGCAACTACGCTGTGGTGTTGTTTGGCCTTGCCCCCATCATGCTATCGCACTCTGCATAGAGGCTTCGGCTAGGCCACAGTTCGCATTGTGGTCATTCTTGCCTTACTTGCTGCCTCGCTGAGCATCAGGAGCCGCAACATTGCCGTGTCTCCGAAGGGTGGCACAGCATGCGAACCAAGGGACAAGGTGGAGGTGGCTCCTTGCGGATTCTCGACTCACACTGCAAACTTAACAGCGCATGTACAAGCAAACATGACCACGTGCACCACCCGAGGAACCCAGCATTGCGGCGAAGGATGCCGCGATGGTGTTTGGGGCGAGTGGCGGGAGTGGACTCCCTGCAGCGGCAGCTGCAACGATGCGTTCCGGATGCGAA